ATAAAGCCAAAACAGGGTCATGAAGCATGCATCCTCATGGATCCTCGGGGTATTTGCAATGGGCACCCCAAACACATGATCTAATCACATAACATGTCCATGGCAACAGCTTGCACCACAAAAATCATGGATCCACAGCTTCGTGGCAACACCATGCTGCAAAAACATGGTTTCGAAGCACGGGTTCTCATGGATCCTCAGTGTTCTTGCATTGGGTCACCATGAACTCATCATCAAATCACATATCATGTCCACAGGCACAGCTTGAACCACAGAAATCATAGATCCACAGCTTTGTAGCAACACCATTCTGCAAAAACATGGTTCTGAAGCACAGACCCTCACGGATCCTTGGGGGTTTTGTACTGGGACACTCCAAACACATCATATAATCAAATAACATATCCGTGCCAACTGCTTGAACCACAAAAATCACAGATCCACAGCTTCGTGGCAACACCATTCTGCAAAAATGTGGTTCTGGAGCATGGATCCTCAAGGTTTTTCCAGTTGGGTCACCCAAACATCACCATGAAATCACATATCATGTCCATGGGCTCAGCTTGAACCACAGAAATCATGGTTCTGGAGCATGGATTGTCATAGATGCTTGAGGTTTTTGTGTTGGGATACCCCAAAACTTACCATTAAATCCCATATCATGTCCATGGCCACTACTTCCACCACAGAATTCATGGATCCATGGCTTTGTTGCAACACCATGCTTCAAAAACATGGTTCTGAAGCATGGATCCTCATGGATTCCTAGTGTTTCTACATTGGGTCACCATGAACTCAGCATCAAATCACATATCATGTCCATGGGCACAGCTTGCACTGCAAAAGTCATGCATACACGGCTTCAGAACCATCTTTTGGCCCCATGGTATTGCCACGAAGCTGTGGATTCATGATTTCTGTGGTTGAAGCTGTGCCTGTGGACATGATATTTGATTTGATGATGAGTTCATGGTGACCCAATGCAAGAACACTGAGGATCCATGAGGATCCATGCTCCAGAACCACATTTTTGCAGAATTGTGTCACATGAAGCCGTGGATTTGTGAATTTTGCGGTTCAAACAGCTGCCATGGACATATTATGTCATTTGATGGTGTGTTTGGAGTGACCCATTACGAAAATCTTGAGGATCCATGAGGATCCGTGTTTCAGAATCATGTTTTGGCTTAATGGTTTTGCCGTGAGACTGTTGACCCATAATTTCTGTGGTTCAGGCTGTGCCCGTGGACATGATATGTGATTTGATAGTGAGTACATGGTGACTGAACACAGAAACACCAGAATGGTGTTGCCACAAAGCTGTGGATCCGTGATTTTTGCAGTTCGAGCAGTTGGCATGGGCATGTTATTTGATTAGATGGTGTGTTTGGAGTGACCCAATACAAAAACCTTGAGGATCCATGAGGATCCGTGCTTCAGAACCATGTTTTGGCTGCATGGTTTTGCCACGAAGCTGTGGATTCATGATTTCTGTGGTTCAAGCTGTGCCCATGGACATGATATGTGATTTGATGGTGATGTTCGGGTAACCCAACTGGAAAAACCCAGAGGATCCATGAGGATCTGTGCTCCAGAACCACGTTTTTGCAGAATGGTGTTGCCACAAAGCTGTAGATCTGTGAATTTTGTGGTGCAAGCTGTTGCCAGGGTCATGTTATGTGATCTGATGGTGTGTTTGGGGTGAACCATTGCAAAAACCCCAAGGATCCATGAATACTCGTGCTTCAGAAACATGTTGTGACTTTTGTGGTGCAAGCTGTGTCTATAGACATGATATGTGATTTGATGGGTGAGTACATGGTGACTGAACACAGAAACACTGAGAATCCATGAGGATCCGTGCTTCGGAACCATGTTCTTGCAGCATGTTGTTGCCACGAAGCTGTGGATCCATTAATTCTCTGGAGCAAGTAGTGGCCATGGACGTGATATGGGATTTAATGGTATGTTTGGGGTGTCCCAACACAAAACCCCAAAGCATCCATGAGGATCCATGCTCCAGAACCATGTTTTTGCAGAATGGTGTTGCCATGAAACTGGATCCATGATTATTGCAGTTAGAGCTGTGACCATGGACATGTTATGAGATTACATGATGTATTTGGAGTGACTCAGTATGAAAAACCGAAGGATCCATGAGGATCCCTGCTTCAGAACCATGTTTTGGCTGCATGGATTTGCCACGAAGCTGTGGATCAATGATTTCTGAGGTTCAAACTGCGCCCATCAACATTATATGTGATTTGATGGTGCGTTCATGGTGACCCAATGCAGAAACCCTGAGGATCCATGCTTCAGAACCATGTTGTGACTTTATGGTGTTGCCAGGAAGCCATGGAACCATGTATTTTGTACCACCCCGGGGCTCAGAAAGGCAGGGGAACATTTCGCGCCCCTCCCCCCACTGCCGCCGCCATTAGCACTGCCGCCGCCGCCAGCCATAACTTTTTAAAGAGCCCCTAACAAGACCTGGGGGAGCCGCTCGGCCATCACACGCGAGAGGTGGAATTTGCCCCTAGGACTCCAAGGCCACCACCCCGCTCGGCCATCACACGCGAGGGGCCATTCTGGCTCCCCCAGGTCTTAAGAACATATGAGACGCCAATGATGGATCAGGCCAAAGGCCCATCCAGTCCAATACTCTGTATCACACAGTGGCCAGAAATACCAGTGCCACCAGGAGGTCCACCAGTGGGGCCAGGACATTAGAAGCCCTCCCACTGTTGACCCCCCCCCCAAGCACCAAGAAGACAGAGCATCACTTGCCCCAGAGCCCCTATCTATACCTTGTGGCTAATAGCCACTGATGGACCTCTGTTCCATATGCTTATCTCTTGTTAGGGGC